AAGTCTGTTTAATTTTAAGATAATTATTTGCGTTTCATTTCTCATGTAAATAACTCTATCATTATTGCAGGATGAGCCGCCTTACAAAGTATATAAATTCACGTACGACTTGAATCCAATATGTGGAACGGAGTCCTGTCCCAGAGAGGCCTGTACTATTGATTTGAAACAAGACGAGTACGGCGACATAGAAACGCTGAATGATTCTATTCAGTGCATGTACTTCTATCCAGCTGATGCGCAGAATGACATGTCACAGGAGCAGCAGAGTTATCAGGAGCAGGAGGACACTCAGGTCACTCAGGAGAATCTGGCCGAACAGGTGAACAACAATCGAAGCGTGGAACTGGATCACGAGATTCAGGAGACCGGCGATGAGAACGTTAGACCGTTCATCGCTATGCGCGCTTCTGGGAACAACTATTGTCCAGGTTGTCCGTACGAGCTGAATCCGAATCTACCAGGTCTTCTTGCCTTCGGTGACCAAGCATTGAGATCAATGGACGAGCAGACCACGAGTGATTACAAGCACAAGTTAATGAGCATTGTAAGAGTCACTCGCTCCGTACCGGTCTCATCCAACGTGATAGAGTATCAGCTGTTGTTGCTGATAGGCGAGTCTGAATGCCTCAAGAACGCCCTAGAACGGGAGCAGGAATGTCCATTGCGAACGACTATTCCAACCAAGTTGTGCCTGGTCACGTTCGAGCAACGACCGTGGCAACAGTCATCCCTCAAAATTACTAAGAACAACTGTACAGATCCTGAGAATGTGTCCAGTGCCACTTATCAAACACAAAGATCAAATTTAGAGAGCGAATCCTTTGTGACAGTCAAGTATAACGAAGGACAACCGTTCCACACTGAGATGGCCGATGTGTATGAAGGCTTGAAGGAAATTTTGGACAATTATACCCTCGCGCCTTCGACCCCCTCAAAGGAACCCGAGGAAGCTGAAGTCACAGAATCCGCTATCATGAAGATAGTGTTGAATAAGAGTCAAGACGATGAAAAGATCTCGAGTTTTACGGACAAGACAAAAGAGTTCAAAGAATTCTTAGAGGACTTTGATCTGCCTGTCAAGCTGGAAGATGCTGCACCTAATACAGATGGAGTTATGAAGGAAGTCAAGGAAGAGAAATTTCTGCGAAAGAAGGTTTCCGTGGAGGATCTAAAGCTCGAAAAGGTAAAGGATAGAGGAAACGTTAATAACAGAAGGAAGCGTTCGGGGCCTGTTCCGAACTTGGTTGGTGCTTCCACAGCAACGTCCATAAACAATCCTGATGTTCAACTCTTTGTCCAAAAAGCTCTGCAGAAAGTTTCCGCAGAATCAGATAGTCCAAACGAACCGCTCATAGTAGAAATCACCGAGGCGAGTGTCCAGGTAGTCGCTGGTAAACTTTACAAGATCAAAGCCAAACTGGGCGATAGTGATTGTTCAAAGGGCGTCAAGGACAACTGCAAATTGTTGGAAGGAAGCGAGGTGAAAGACTGTCTGATACAGGTGTGGTCGCGACCATGGCAAGATGAGGGTTCGCCTGAGATAACGGTCACATGCCCTCCGCCAGAAAATAGCAGAAGGAAACGATCCCTGCGCGGCATTAATTACAGCAAAAAGATGCTGCAAATCTCCGAGGATATAAAGGCCGAGCGGTTATTCGACAACTTCGTGACTACTTACAATCGGACATACTCCTCACCAGAGGAAAAGAATCTGCGATTTAAAATATTCCGCGAGAATCTCAATTTCATAGAGATGCTACGTGAGAACGAGCAGGGAACCGGCATCTATGGCGTGAATATGTTCGCCGACGTGTCGCAAAAGGAATTCCGCACACGTTATCTCGGTCTACGGCCCGACTTGCAATCGGAGAACGAGATACCCCTGCCTAAAGCCGAGATCCCGGATATCGATCTACCACCCAGTTTCGACTGGCGACAGAAGGGCGTCGTGACTCCAGTGAAGAATCAAGGCTCATGCGGTTCGTGCTGGGCTTTCTCGGTGACGGGCAATGTCGAGGGCCAATACGCAATCAAGCACGGCCAGCTGTTGTCTCTGTCCGAACAAGAACTGGTGGATTGCGATGATCTTGATGAAGGCTGTAACGGCGGCCTACCCGATAACGCTTATAGAGCCATCGAGCAGCTGGGCGGTCTCGAACAGGAGTCAGACTATCCGTATGAGGCGGAAAACGAAAAGTGCCATTTCAAGCAGAATTTGGTGAAGGTAGAATTGACCTCCGCTGTCAACGTCACATCGAACGAGACGCAAATAGCACAGTGGTTGGTGCAAAACGGTCCAATCGCCATCGGCATTAATGCTAATGCCATGCAATTTTATATGGGTGGCGTCTCGCATCCCCTCAAATTCCTGTGCAATCCCAAGAATCTGGATCATGGCGTGCTAATCGTTGGATATGGCACAAGTCGTACGTATCGCATTAAAATACCTTTCTAATTTAATATGATCACTTTATTACAGGAAAGACAATAATTAATTACTTATTTAGAGTATTAAGAGCACTAAACAACTGTGCTTTAATATTTATTAATAAGCAATCAATTACTGCCTTTCATCATAAAAAATTATAAATTATAAATTAAATTGGTTAATAGATTTTTGTAAAGATCGTTTTAAACACGATTGAAAAATATTTGAAAAACATAGTGAAAAAAAGTAGAGCTTATATTGTATTTCCTTTTCCACAAAGATCCAGAAATTAATTTTAATTATCCTCTTGGATAATTATGATTTTATAACTTAATAATCTGACATTTTTATATCTATTGCTAACACATATATAATAGAGAGAGAGTAATTAAGAATACATATTTTACTAAAAATCAATTTTTTAAGAGATGCTACATTTTTTCACATATCTTTTCGAAGGTTTACAATTTAATATTAATATTGAGTACGATATATATAGATGACATATATTATATCCAATATTCTTTCAGGCTATCCGCTTTTCCACAAAAAGCTACCGTATTGGATTATTAAGAACAGCTGGGGAAAATCTTGGGGCGAACAGGGATACTACAGAGTTTACCGCGGGGATGGCACTTGCGGACTTAACACGATGGCCTCGAGTGCCGTGGTTGTTTAACGCTGCTACGTTAAATAAGTTTTCCATGACAATTAACTTATAATCGTTTTAAACGAAGTTATACATTATACATACATATATATAGAGATATCCTTTTCTACTAATTAACGTCGATTTTGAAACTATATCCATTCGCTTGTCAAAGATTTAATGAATGCGGCTTGGTCACATTACTACTCTACACTATGTATTATAGTATTCACTCACTATAATGTTCAGCTTGCAAATATCTGGCAAGCGGATGAATCTGGAGCTAGTTAAGTATATGTTGTGCAATTTAAGCTAAGTTCAATTTTCTGCATATCTATATATTAGGAAAGAAAAACGATGTTCAAGAGAAAATCGTTTATGACAATCCTATTCTGTTGATCGAAACTAAATTATATAATTCGCTAATGTTTTGCAAATCTCTTTATAAAATAATATGGATAATATATATATAT